GATCCTGACTTTTCAATGCTTCGCAATGCTACTCTCTCAAGAAGCCAAAATACAGGGGTTCCAGCGAAAATGATTCTCGAAACAGATTTGAGGAAATCATAATCTTTAAACTCAATATTCGCAGTAACACCTCACAAATATGCCTAGAATAATCAAAGAGAAGGCATAAAAAATGCATTCTTTCAAATTTGCATCAGAGTTTTACAAAATTCAATAAATAAAACATCTAGCTCTAGATAAAATGTTTACAAGTGGACTCTCTACAATGAAGTTCCGGGAAGAGAAAAATTATTTGCGGAAATAATCTTTCTGTTGGGAACCTCTATCTATATTATGAGTTGAGATACCTATGCCTATGGGACAAAAAAAATTAGCATACAGAGAAAATTCTGGAAGAAAAGATCCAAAGAAGAGTAAATGCCTGTACTTTAACCCTTGGGCAGTGGTGGGTTCCTTTCCATCGTATGGCCAAGTCAGGATTCTTCTGAACACATTTCAGCATTTTGGTTTGACCAAAGGTCACCAAAATGCACCTGAGTTGCAAAGGCCCACGTTGGATATATCTTGCAAGAGTAAAATTTTTTTTCAAAGTACATTGTCAATCCCATAATAAGAAAATAGGAAAAAATCCTCCCATGGAGTAATTCAATTTTTCAGCCAAAATTGTCCCCAGCCAGAGAAAAAAAGGTACTTTCCTGTTATCTCAGTACCTCATTCCTAGACCGCACTACCATCCAGACAAATCTTTTGGACAAGTTCATAATCACAACAACCTACCAGAAACTGAATTTTGTTTTTCCGCATTCTGCTGAAACTGATTTTGGGAGGTGGTTAGGTAAACTTAGGTTAGGTCAGGTTATGTCAGTTACAAATATCTCTTAATTAACATAACCTGACCTAACCTAACTTTACCTAGTGGCCTCACAAAATCAGTTTCAGCAGAAACCCAAAGAAAACAGAAGCTGATTTTGGGAGGCAGTTAGGTCAAGTTAGGTTAGGTCAGGTTAAATTTGTCAATGGGAAGGTACAGAGACAAAAGGAAAGTAGGTACTGAGATAACAGGAAAGCACCAAAAAATCAGATTTTTTAAATTTTGCAAAGCTCATCGGCACACAATTAGGCAAAATATCCCAAGTCTGCTGCACCAGGGAAACTCTCTAGTATGAGTTGACAAATGATGCTGAACATGGGTGTCAAGGGTTTGTTTTTATTATTCTTTCACTTGTTCACAAAACATAAAAAGCTTCATTTTAATTCTGTTTCTCTTTCCTACCTAAATAAGGCAGATACCTGGAATAAACAAGTCTCTTCTTCATTGTTTTACCAGTACTGTAATCAATTTTGTTGTTGAAGCTTGCATAATATTCAATCGCAGAAGGTGATTCTGGAGGAGGCGGTGGAGGAGGTGGTGGTGGAGGTTGGGGACCTGGGCAGGATGACGGGAAATCAGGCTACAGCGGCGGCCAGCCCTCATCAGGAGGCATGGGTGGTGTAGGTGGACCAGGAGGCAGACCCGGTGGCGCAGCTGGCCCAAGTGGAGGGCCCTCGGGTGCAGACGGTGGAGAAGCACCCAAGAAGAAGGATCCGCTGCCCTATGAACGGATTCCCACCCCGGGGGTGACGCCCTATGTATGGAGCCCCCCGGCGACCATTTTCCAGCCTTCTCCGACCCCGCCTGGAACCCCGTTTGTGGGCAGTCCTTCTGGAGGCGGTGGAGCTGCTGACAGCTCTGATGCTTCTCCGGCTGAAGACGGATTCGTGAAGAAAGCCTGAGAGGGACAAGAATGGCATTGGAGTTCTTGATTCCGCGTTATTTACTCAAAATAAACTGCTGTATATAGACTGATAACCTAACCACAAAAATCTTGATTCTGCATTCTCTTGTAGCGCCGAAATTGGCCATAAAAGAAGGGTTTAGTGAACCGCTGGCTAAATTAAAGTCAGAGTGTGAAAAACGACTCGCTGTTTTTTTCCTTAATGGTAATACTGTTTTCAGGCGCCATATACTTGCTTTTTTTGAAAAACCAATTTGGAAAACTTCGATGCCAGCAATATGTGGGTCTTTGGTAAGAAATCAAATTTACCTTACTTGCCGTATAGCTTCAGCAAAGATAGATCCAGCTTGGATTAATGTATGTATTTTTCTGGGAAATAATTATGTGAACATCCAACTGAATTGAATCTTGAAATCTGAAATAGTAGTAGGTGATTCCGTCTGCAAGTATTGGGAAAATATTTATAATGTTGTTGTCATTGTTCTATTCATGAATTGCAGTGGGACCAACGTCTATTCCAACTACAGTCAAACCTCATTAAGACGCCCCGACATGAAGCGCCACCCTTGTCAACCGCCAAAATTTTGAATAAAATAAATTTCTATGTTAAAGTCTATAGAAAACCACTCCAACCATCTGCCAGTATTATTGATGAAACTAAAGTGCTGTTTCCAATTAGTTTTGTCTTTGTTGCAATGCAATGTTGCAATTGGGGTAAAATAATTTCTACCAAGGATCTTGTATTTGTAAGCAAGTAATATTAATAATGTTGAAAATCTTGAAAAATATATTGACCTAATGTTAAAATTTGAATAAATTGATGCAGAAAAATTTATTTTCCAAAAGATTAATCCATTGATCACAGCAATACTCTTTGGAAAATTACTAAAGTTTCTATGCATAACCTGTATATCTCTACAACTTTTGGGGGAAAATTCAGCATTTTTGATCAAATAATTAAAATTTAATATTTGATTATCTGCCAACCTCTTTAAACTCCCAAAATTGCTCTGGACAAATGGTATAGTCTCATTGGGGGTTGACTGTATTATGATGCTCTTTCCTAGGATTAACCTTCTCATCTCCTTTTCATGCAAGAAAGGCAGATTCTGTGTTGATTTTTTTCAAGTGCAGTAGTTTTTTATCCTTCATGAAGTTATTGAAGTGTTCAATTTTCTGTTGGACTTGATACAGTTTTCCATTTATGAGAACTGATAAAACTGTTCCCAGCTTCCCACTGATGAAGTGTATTAGTGTGATCCAATAGAATGCAGACATTATGATGCGTGGACAAAATCAGCAAAATAAAGTGTCAGGATCATGAGGGCCATCAGTTTTGTTCCCAATGTAAAAAGCAGAATTGAATTGCTCTGAAGTCTAAATTAAAATTACTGAAATCGGAAAATTTGCCAAGCTCCGTGAATTTCCTCAGATTTTGTTGCAGCTTGTGCTCTTTGATCAGAAGAAAGAGCTAGGGCCACAATGCGCTCCGAAGCATGGGATACCACTAGGGATCTTGCGTCGGCTCCCGCACTTTTGAATCAGCGGTTATGTTTCTGACTCACACTAGCTGATCCCGTTGATTGTGCAACGTGTAGAGAGAAGTGAGGGTTGGTGAAATCCGCTTATTCCTTCATTATCCAATGATTGACGTGGCGTTGTGTTGATAAATTCATTTTGGTGAATTCGACTGTGCATCATGAACTTCCATAACACTGCAGTGAAATTCATTACGCAAAACAGTACATTCATGCGCCGATTGAACGTGGTCCCAGCTTCAATTGGCTGACTCCTCCAAGCTTCCGTATATCCTGCTACGCGGAGGAGGAAGGCAGGCAATATTTTCATGAGTGATGTTCGATGTGTACATGTTTGGCAGCTTACGTTTGGAATTATAATCTTTGGCAAGTTTTAGAGAATGTTATCACGCTTTGCGCAGTTCGTAAATCTTAGAACGACGGTATGTTCATGTGATGTATAGTGAATCAACGTAAATAGTGTGCTATAATTGTTCAGCTATTTGTCATCTTCCTGTGCGGACGAAGTGATGTGCTTCAGCGCACTCCGGGCACCAAAACTCAGGAAAGCAATGTTATATCCTTGGCATTACAGTACTTCGCCGACTTTTGGATGATCCTCGCAGATTCTGGAGAGAATTCTCTATGCTTTTGATGGCGAACACGGGTGACTTCTTCCGCAATTAATGCTAATTTTTTTTCTGTTGAGGACCAAATGAAAAATTAGTTACTGATTTCGATGAAGCAGTTCAGTACAGTATCCTGTACATAAATCGAGTGTGACATTCAAAATACGCTCATTAAACATAACATTTTTTTCGAATCGAACCATTCGTGGTATTAGAGCGTACGGGAAACTTGAAAGTTGAAAACTTTCGGATGAAGCTATTTACCCAAAAAGTACTCCCGTTTGTGTTGTGTCTTTTTCGAAGTTTTTGCTGAGCCGATGCTACTATTTTTGGGATCCCGATGACAAACTGTCGATCTTTTCCTGAAAGTTTCAATCTCGGAGTAACGGTGCGTGAAGTAATGTTCAGTTACTTGTAGATACCTCAGATTCATGACGTCGTTCATCTCCCCCTCCGACGAAAAGCTCTACACTTGACGCACAACTTCAACCAGCGACTGGGGTGTGACCTTGTGAGCGAGAAGAGACGTCAGTCTTACCATTTCACCGGAACACCGAAAAGGGCAAAAAAGAAAAATGAGGGAGGAATAATGAGGAATAATCAGTCATACTTTTATGTACCTTTGAGTATTGGGATACATGCTGAAATTGCGTTACGTAAAATGTGAAATACAGTATAATGATCACATCACTATACCGTACGCAGAGCATGACATGACTACAAGGAATAAACAATATTTTTTCTTGATGAAATTGCTGTGCCTATCGGTTTGGTGTCCCTTTCCTTTTCAAATACGTTTTGCTTTGTTCTGTGATGTAAATTTCCAGGAATCCATCGTACGTACTCATTATTACGAAGAGCTTTTCTCTTCATCGACAAGGAAAAAGGAATCCGGGAAGTACTCCGGTTCAATCAGATCAATGCAAGGTGTCGATGCGAAAATTCTATTGTAATGCACATTGGATTATTTCATTTCGGAAGGATTCGATGCTTTTGCACTCGCGATCTCCTCTTCGAGAAAATTGAGCAATTCCTTTGAAGCTGAGACTGAAATGCACTGGTTTTCACCTAACGCTCTATTATTTTATTTGTTTTTAGATCCGAAGTCTCACTCATGCAATATATTTCTTCGATTGTACCTTCTGCTTTTCATCTCCTTCTCGCAGAAAGCGGGTATTTTTAAGCGTAGCCATGCAGGGGGCTACCAGCAATGAGCTCGGTGAGTCACATACAGTATATACCAGTTAGTGGATATTGCGTGCGACTCATTGATGTTATTAGCTCGTTTTTATGCGTTGCAGATTCACTGATGCTGCAACTAATGATGGCCGATTCTGAGGAATCCTCGTTGGAATCCGGAACACCAACGAGCGATGGCGAATATGTGAATCTTGGTAAGTTGCATAATTATGATCATGATGGAAGTGATCGGCGAATTATGGAAGATTGTTCTCGGACGAGCATTCGGGAAAATGCCGTGGCAGGAATACGTCACAGATACAACTCCGTGAATGATGAAACTTCATTTGGTACAAACTCAATTGAAAATGCGCGGATCTCCGTGGCATTTTCTTGGCGTATACCCGACGTGAATTTGCCGAAGAATTCGTGTTTCGGTACAGTTTTTGAAATGAAATGAGACCATGGCACCATGCAGTGCATTGCATTGTATCAAAGAATGTAATAATAATAATAATCGAAAGAAATAAAAAGCTGAACTCCGATAATTGGAACTTCGGTTAGTCGAAAACTTCCGTGCGTCGAAACTGTTTCAGACCTTCTATATGAATCTATATGAAGGCATATATGAATCGAGAAATTTCTCGAAGGCTTCGAAATCAGCGAAAATTTCGAGAGGAATCTGTTATAATTTATAAAGCAACGATTTGAGCAAACGTGAAGACAAATTAATTTCGGTCGGAACTCAGAAGAAAGCGTGAACTCTATGTAAGGTGCGTGCTTAGGGGATTGCTGCGCGAATTCGATTCACTAAAATCTTGAAATGAAGCGCAAAGATATGCGAACTATCCAATTTAATTAAGACGGATCGGATGTTCGTTGTTTTTCAAGAATGAATCGCTTCACTTTGAAGCCTCGATAATAATGAAATGTTCAACGCGATGATGGCAAAACGCGAGCTGGACCTTGCCTATACTGAAAAGCCATAGCCACTATAGGCATACGAGTTGAAGATCATAGCGCTGCAAATTAAGAAACGTTATTTGCTTCTACCGATTTTTGCAATGTGACTTGAAAACCTGGCATGAAGGAAAATTCGTATGACGAATTATTTGCGCCCGATTCTATTCCAGATTCGGATTCCGCGCAGGAAGATACCGAAGAGGAACACATCGGCAGCGAATCACAGGCAGAACTACTGGTGGATATTTTGTGGAATCCACAAGTTATCTTCTCCGCTTTGAACGGTATACTACTCAAAATAGGGAAATTTAGCATCGATATTTGAAAATGAGATGGAGATCCTTGATCCAGGTGACGGCGATGCCAACGAAGAAAGCGTGAACTACAAACGAGCAAGAAACATGTCTAAATGGCTTCGAATGTTGGCCGTGCGACGATCTAGTGAGTCATATCATGCGATTGCCTAAAGCTCTCTTCTAAAAAATACTGTTCATTGTATATCTGATCCTCTTTTGATTGACAGAAAATGTGCATAGTTTCTTGAAAGCATTCGCGCACGTGTTGAAATTCGTGCTTTGTTTACGGAAGAATAAGCGAGTGGAGAATTCAGACTCGAAGAATAATCCATTCGTCGTCCCTTTGAAAGATGCGATGCAGATCTACACAAGTTACAGCAATCTTCCGGACAATTTGCTGTTCGACAAAATTTTCGATTTCCTGCTGAGAAACCCCGAAGGGTATTCCGAAGTTAACCTTGCTGATCTGGAACTTATTGCTCGTCTCCTCTCCGGCAAGTACATATGTCCACTGTTAGCTTTTGATGCATCCTCTCCTAAACGACGTCAGTGATTTTGTGCGTAAGTTTTCTGAATGTATCGAGTGAATTCGCATGCGGGCTTGTACATACATTTTTTCATCGGAAAAATGACGTGTTCACCGAAGTGTTCGGTGGAAGAAAGTGTTGCGGTGTTTGTTTCTGGTGTATTTCGACGTTTTCTTGTTTTTGAGCGGGATGAGACAAATTCGTAACGAAGAATGTAACGTCGCTCGTTTCTTGTTTCGATCGCCGAAATAAGGCAGTGATTTTCGACTACCTGAAGAAAATTGTTCATCTGTCGTCCTCCCTTCAGTAACGAATCCGCGCATTGAGAAGTGCTGCTCATTAGAATGAATGAAAGTGATTTCGTGGTTCCAAAAACCCCGGCAGCGGCTGTGTTCAAGAAGCCGATGAAGCTCTTGTCCAGTAATTCGGATTCGGATCCTGGAAGAAATGTAGGAACACCGTTTACGTCAGTCGCTGCAGTGTCGAAGAAGCCGATGAGACTATTGTCAAGCAGTTCGGATTCGGATCCGTTGAAGAATGAAGGAATGTCGTTGACTCCAGGCAGTTACCGCAAGATGCTTCAACCTAGGTGAATATTTCTCGATAGCCTATTGGCGACAATTCTAATTCCTCGGTCCTTTAAAACAGAATGAACTTTGCTGGTGAATCTGGTTACTTGTTTGTGTCATAAATTATATTGGACAGGGTGAAAAGTTGTTCGAACTTTTGAAGAAATGAAAACACAATCCATTGCAATGATGAAACTATAGGGGGCTGTGAAGATTGTCATTTTCAATACTAGTGTACTGTCCAGTAAGTTCTTACTAGTAACGGTGTTTTTCTTAGTCCTCTACTGTACCGGGCCTGCTACAAATTCTTATTCGCGCCATCTTCCGAAAACCTTGAATTGGGGGCCCCGACATGCGGATGATTCAACTAGAGACACTTGCCAGCTCAAAACGTTGTCTGGACAGCATCCGGCCTATGTCTCGAAGTATATGGACAATTCACCCACAAAAACTGTAATTGTCAGAGTTGTTACGTTTCTTGAATAAATTGAGCTGATTATTTTCACAAATATTCAGTATAAATTGCATTAATAATTCATTCTGATACATAATCCAAACTCTGTCATACTTCGTTATTTTCTGTTTGGGAGACTTATTCTTAATTTCTGATCAACAGTAGAACCAATTAAATATATATCCATCGAAGTGAAAGGGAAAACTTGACCCGACATGCGGTCATTATTTTGACACGGGGAAAAGGTTGAGAACAAATTACGTCCGCATCTCGGGGGCCCATCGTATAGTCATTTCTCTGCTCAGGATTTTTGAGTCGTTGCGCTTATAATACCCTGCATTTCCGTTTCATTGACAATATCATCGAATTAATTGAGTAGCTTTCAGGGATTCCTTCTCATTGTTACTGTATTGTAATTCATTGAAAGATTCACATAATGGAAAAAGCCGGTCGCTTTTCTTGAAGGATTTTTAAAACCATCGCATAAGCTCGAAAAGAGAGTCGGAATTTTATTGCACGCGTCTCGTGTACAGTAATGAAGAAAATGTTTTTCGCGGGTTGTACTTACAACAAATTTATTGCTTTTATAACCAAACCACGTGTTCTTGAATTTGCAGACGATACGCACGGAGTCATCTGTCTCGCGGAGAAACATCGTCGCAAGATTTTCCTGGCACTTCCTTCGTCGGACCGAGTGACGTGAGCGTGCCTGTGACGTAACTGTGAAATCGCGATGCCATTTACTTGCATTTTCATATCTAGGCGCCAGCGATGTCAAACTTTGAACCCGGAGCAGCAAGCAGTAACGGAAGTCAAGAAATCAATTACGCCATGATGAGCTCACAAATGGCTGGTTTTCGTCGTTCGGAAGTTGTTCGTAGAACTGCCTTTCCGTCCCGGAATCTTGGAAGTCCCGCGAAAAGGCTGAAGTTGCAGGATGGATCATCTTTTTCACCGACGATGACATCACGAAGTAGATCTGACGATTTACAGTTTGGTGCGATGAATTGATATTTTTTCCTTTCAACCTCCCTTTTGGGCGTTGTTTTTCTTTAAACACTCCTTTACCCTCGTTGGATTCGTCTTGAATTTTCTTGTCTTAGAGGTAATGTGTCTTGTTTCAACTCCAATCAGAGATTTGATGGATATGATAGGAAACATACGTTTCAAATTCCTGTTACATGGCATGATGGTGAAATGCTGTACGCGTCTGATTCGTACCCGTCGTCCAATTTTTATTCACGCATTATTTCAGGCAAAAAAGTGGCTTTTCGCTGATCTGATCATTTATAGAAACCGTCTGGAATTCGAGATTGTGTCCGCCTTCCGCATTTCATTAAGTTTCCCATCGTATCAGTTTTGCAGCTGGGGCTGAAGAAATACCCCAGCCATTGCTCATCTGTCCATGCCCCTGCTGCAACTTTCCTTCACGCGTTCGAGTTGGGATTTTTGAAATTCATTATTCATGAATGTCTGCATAAACATTCAAAAAGATAAAATCAAACCTAGAAAAATAAATTTTTGAGATGCTTTAGTTTTTGCATTGATCAGAGGAGTGGAGAAGTTTATTCTGATTGGCGGAAAATGTGCAGTAAAAATGTGAAGAATGCATCATAAATGTGATATTCAGATGGCTGCTGTATTGGTACGGGTATAGATAGGGGTTGTTTTTCATTTATTTATTTGTTTTGAAAGGAGAAAATGGTAAGCTTTTCCTGGTTCCAGCAGCAGTGTTCACGAAATATTGTTTAAAACTGAGATAGAGCGTCAATAACGACAATGTTTTTCAACAGTTCAATAACATATTTTTGAGGCCCGGAGACCTCCGAACGCATCTGATGTTGAAGTTTGAATTTTATTTTGGGCGCTGTTTTTTCCCCCCGTAAACTTTAAAGGCATTCCCGATTGAGCACAAATGCATGAGATTCTTGCTGATTTTCAGGTGCAAGGAATCCGATTACTGCTTGTGACCGTGCCGCAGAAACGCAGGGGTCGTCTCACGTGCCATTATCACAAAGACTTGCAGCGTTTACGAATGATTCAAGGAGCTTCCAGGGACCGAAATACGTCAAGCCCGATTTGAGAATCAGTGAGAGAGCCTTCGTATTTTATGAGTCGCGGTCGGTATACTCCGTAATGATTTTACAGCACTTGCCATATATATAGTTGCACGTACCTGTACATCATCGTTTTCAAAAAAACAGTCGGAATTTTTTCCAGTCGAGCTTGAAGGGACCAATAAGAAAATTCTAGTTTGGGAGGTTTCGAGTGAGGGAGACAAGCATTTTTGTTGGGAGAAAGAGAAAAGAATTGCAGGGATTTTAAATACGGGATATTCTGGGCACTGAATTGCTTTTTAATTGAGATGTTAGTATCTTGAAGGTTAGGGTTTAGTAGCCTAATGGATCTTTCACTTCCTTTCAAAAGGGATCAAGTTAAATTTTTCCTGCTTTTGTGTTTACTGTGTCGATAAAAAATGGCCAAAAGGCCTCCAGAAAATTTGAGTTATGGAGGTTTGAGGCGGAAGGGGGGGGGGGAGCAGTGGTGTTGGGGAGGTTTTCAATGCATTGTTTCTGAGGAAATTTAGATCAATATGACTTTGAAAAATCGAAGTAGCTTGAAAATTGGAGTTATTGAGGTTCAAAAGTATATTTCCACTTCTATTTCATTATAAATACTCTTTGGTGAACACGTGTTCCTCGAGACATTCAAAAGATATAGAGGATGATCTCATTCTTCTCCTGTTTCCGTTCCGCTCTTGTTGATTTTGTCGATCAGGGATGGGAATATCGTAAACAAATTTATTTTACCTGTGCTTCAAATGAAATTGAAGATATTTTTATGTATTTTAGAAAATGACGTAAGAGGAACAAGTTGCTTTAGTTGAATTTTATCAATCTTGACTTCACGATGTTATTTCATGCGTTGCACCTTGATGAACGAGCTACGGGGAACGTTCATTCAGGTTCACTACGCTTTTTTGATCGGATGCGTCGAATTAATCTACATATTATACATGTCCTATAGAAAACGTTTTTCGTACCATGCTGATTTTTTATTTCTACCTTAGGCGTTCTAAAGAAGAAACTTCCCGCAAGTTTATATTCGGAGACTCCTGTTTCCGCGTTGAGCGATAATGTCAACTGCAGGAATCCGCAAACTTCAACGCCAATTCCTACGCTGCAAACTACGGCCAGAGGTTTCAATATCAACACGACAAAATATTCTTCATAGTGAGTTACCGTTGTAGTTCCAGGTGCATTTATTTTCGCGTCGACTTAAACGTTCGAATGAAATAAAATCGGCACGTATTCAAATCGATGTTGCTTCATCTCTTTTAGCACTGCTTGGGTTGACAAAAGCACGGATTCAAGGGCCAGTGCTGGGGGCAGCAGAATCAATTCAGGAAAAGCTAGCCCTGTGGGATTGTTGGGATCATCAACGACTTCAAGAGTTGGAATTGGTTTCCAGCAGGATATTTCCAATGAGCCTGACTTCGAAGCGATGCTTGCGGACGATTTCAGTCAGAGTCTCAGTGCACCTTCCGATGTGGATTATTTTGAAAATTCCCTGGATCTTGATATAGATTCAGAGCTTGCTGAGCGGAACACCATGGATGCTTGCGAAAGTGAGGCATGCAAATTTCTTGAGGTTGTCCGAAAAGTTACTTTGCCGTGGGAAAGTCTGCATTCCTTGGTGCACTTCATTTTGGAAGTTAACTAAACCTTTACCTCTTCACTGGATACATTATTACGATAATTATTTATTTATTTTTTCTTCTTCAGAAAATCACGTAGTTGTTCAAACTATAATTGATAAAAGCTGAAAATTCCAAGTTAGCAAATTCTAATTGATTATAGGCAGGTCTGATGTGAAAGTGTTTTCCAGGCATCAAACTTTGGCGGCAGTGCTGGCGTTTTCCATAAATTGCTGTTCAGACATTTTTAAATGAAAATATTGCCGCGGCAAATTTAGCGTACGTCGGGATATATTCTAATATTTTTTTCTATCTGGGCAAAAAAGTTTAGGGAGAGCCTGAAAAAAAGCTCAACCAAGGCAGGGTCTTTTTCAATCGTCAGCCATAAGATTAACTTGGTGGGTCTGCTGGACATTACCAATTTTCTTGCTTCGCCTGACCAAATATTTCCTCTCTTGGGCCTCTCTGCTCAGGTGCTGTTTTGGTGACCTTGGTCGAACCA